CTTTTTTACAGCCTATGTACACACGGAGTCCCTTCGCGGGTCACATAGCGAACTCGGGGAATTTGGAAGTTCAGACATTTTCTCAAACCAAATTGGAGCCTGAAGCAAGTAACATTTCAACAACCACTGCCCTGAAAACCTGCTAGAAGCAGTGAAAAATCGCTAACATCCAGTGCCGACAAAGAGACGAAAGACACCCCAGCGCACAGCCACTGCACCGCGTTTCAGTCTCAGGACGCACTGGCCAAGGAAACTGCGTAAACAACAGGAGTGTTTCACTGTCCAAGAAAACCGAGCGTTTGTTGTAGATCACAAACTCCAGGAATATGCAGTGACACTTATTCCCCAAAGAAACCTGCCAGCTGCCTCGGACATATATACATGTTATATTGGCCCCATCCCAATGGGATACCCCCCAGCCTACCTCGATCACAAACACTGTGTTTAAATGCAGCTGTCTCTATTCGCCAATACGGTGTATGACCCTGGACATGAAATTGTCTGAAATTAAAAGGAAAGTGGACGAGTCAGGCATTCGTGGAGTATTATTGCAAGAGAAGCATCTACGACGACATCAAGCAACCACTCGCTCGAAGGTGTTCTTTCTCCAGTGTGGACTTTTACTCCCTTACACCGGTCACCAATAACCAGGCGGAATCTATCAACGCCATGGTGAAGAGGATAACTAAAGGGCAAGAGGTGCCTGTCGGACGCGCTATGCTCTGCGCGCGTCAACTTTTTACAGACCTATGTACACACGGAAGTCCCTTCGCGGTCAATGCCGAACATGGGGGAATTTGGAAGTTCGCTGGAACAGTTTTCTCAAAACAAATGGAGCCTGAAGAAGTAACATTTCCCAAAACAACCATCTGCCTGAAACCGCTAGAAGCAGGGTGAAAAATGCTAACATCGCACGGCGACAAAGGACGAAAGACACCCCAGCCACAGCCCCACTGCACCGCGCTTTCAGTCTCAGACCTGCACTGGCCAAGCGAACTGGTAAACCAACAGGCAGGTGTCACTGTCCAGAAACCGGAGCGTTTGTTGCTTAGATCACAACTCCAGGAATATGCAGCTGACAAACTATTCCCCAAAGAAACCTGCCAGTGCCCATCGACATATATACATGTTATATTGCCCCATCCAATGGATACCCCCCAGCCTACCTACGATCACAACACTGCCACTGTTGTTTAAATGCAGCTGTCTGCTATGTCCGCCCGATACAGTATGACCTGGACATGAAATTGTCTGAAATTAAAGGAAAGTGGAGTCAGGCATTCGTGGAGTATTTTGAAGAGAAGATCTACGACGACATCAAGAACCACTCGTCGAAAGGTGTTCTTTCTCAGTGTGGACTTTTCTCCCCTTACACCGGTGTCACCAATAACCAGGCGGAATCTATCAACGCCATGGTGAAGAGGATAACTAAATGGCAAGAGGTGCCTGTCGACGGTATGGCACTGGCGGTCAACTTTTTACAGACCTATGTACACACGGAGTCCCTTCGCGGTCAATGCGACATGGGGAATTTGGAAGTTCGGGAACAGTTTTCTCAAACCAAATTGGAGCCTGAAGAAGTAACATTTCCAACAACCATCTGCCCTGAAAACCTGCTAGAAGCAGTGAAAAATGCTAACATCCAGTGCGACAAAGAGACGAAAGACACCCCAGCACAGCCCACTGCACCGCGTTTTCAGTCTCAGACTGCACTGGCCAAGGAACTGGTAAACAACAGGCAGCTGTTTCACTGTCCAGAAACCAGAGCGATTGTTGTAGATCACAACTCCAGGAAATATGCAGTGACACTATTCCCCAAAGAAACCTGCCAGTGCCCATCGACAGTGACGTGCATACACATAATAGCAGCCCGAGTCAGTATTGGCATGGAAGTAGAAAGAGAAAAACAGACGATAAATCGAACAACACTACGGAGAAACGCCCGAACTAGAAGAGATAAAAAGAGTGGAAGAAAACAACCAATACCCGGAGATGTGGAAGTGTTACATGCTCCTGACAGCCTCATTGAGGAAAACTCTCATACATCAACTAGGAAACGCACCATAACGGAGGATGACCTTTCAAAGGCAGAGATCAGTGATGCTGATAGTATGGAACAGATTGAGACGCAACCATCAAAACGGGTTCGTTTTGAACTTGATGCTGGCTTACACAATAACAAAGATCTAAGTGATTCGCTTCCTGACATAAAAGGTCCACGTGCTCCTAAAAGCAGACAATGGACAAAAATGGAACGCGCACTGTCAAAGCACTGTCTCTGGGTGTACAGGACACTCCAACGTCTATTGATAATGGACACTCCGAGAAAACAGTCGAAACACAGTTCTCCACTGCCGAACTTCAAAACCTTCTAGAATTGGTTGGAAAACTTTCATTTAAACTGCCACGCAACATACTGGCTTATCGCGACGAAGAGCTGGTTAATGACCAGGCGCTGACTTTCTACAAAAGCAGTTTACGAGAGCACGGTGAGGAGATGGACTCGCGTGTTTATGACCTCACCTCTCGTATACCAGCCTCAACGGACGTCGATACATCCCGGAGAGCGGAAGAGCTACAGATGCTGGCAGCTGTGTTGTGTGTAACCTCGCAGAGCGATGTCGACCTGTTTAAGTTATTGGAGACGTTCAACCAGGTTCCAGGTTTTTCGGAAATGCTACCCATACAGAGCATTGGTACCAGGTTCGTCGTTCTGTCTACATGGATTGAAATCTTAACGCAAGTAGATTACATTGGCGCCGTCAACCAAGGATTCGTGTGGAAGGAAACATCACACATCAACATTAACAGTGAAATCGTCGTCTTTTGGTGCTTCGCTCATTAAAAGAAAACCAGGTCTAACAGCATACACGAGCCAAGATGATCCACGTTTTGAGGTAATAAACCTATGTGATGGTAAAGGCCTTGCAATGATAGTTCTTTTTGATTTTAATATATATTTTTATTGGAAATATAGAGATCACTCTTATATTTAATTCTAGTGAGGGGATTTATCGGGAGCAGCAAAGTTTTTCCTAGGGTCTGTGTACCTCATGTATTCAGCACATGGTTTAACCAAGACCACTCGAGGAGCACTTCGGCCGCCACTGCAGGAATTGGGTCGTGCACGCAACCCGAATTTACAAGAATATAAATAAGAAACAATTCTGCATCTATTACAGCGCAGAGCCATGTTTGTAATATAGTTTTATGATGATGATAGATGATAAAACAATGCACAACATATTTTTTTCAGATATCAAGAGAGGTCAAGCTGAACATTCAACGTTCACTTGCCTTGCAAATGACACCAAAAGGAAACACGAAATCTTGTAGCCGGGCACCAATTCTACTAGACAATGAAACTTTGGCAAAAATCAAGCGGCGTAGAAAAAGCCAAAGTAATGATTTCTCGAGAGAAGAAGCACGAGTGCGTGGTGTGCCGCACGCGCTTCCAGCACCCCTTCTGCGAGTAAAAGTGCAAGCACACTTTTAATTTCAAGGATCTTTCCGTGCGGATAAGTAATCCCTCAGTGGCCGTTTCTGACGCTGTGCATCTTTGTTTTTTACTGCAGCTTCAAAGAG